TGAGGTGGATAGCAAATGCGTAACCCAACTGATACTTGGAACTGGGGACAATCTCGGGACTCATGCAACGATTGTCTCAGTCACTCGTAGTATGGTCCAACGGGATTGGAGTGTTAGGATACAACATGTGCATGACATACGTCATATTTACGTGCATTTCATAGTGATTTTCGTGTCCGTTTTGTAGTAGTTTGATATATAATTAGTTATTATTAAATTAATTATTATATAATTAGTTATATATTCAATTTATTTTATTAAGCTATGATGTGGTCGTGCAGTGAAACGAGCCCAACATAAGGCATGCCCTCTTTCATATGAAAATGCCTACATAATGCTTTGGGCCGACCCAAGAAAATCACAAATAAACATGTAATGGGCCAGCCCACAAGATGATTAAGTAGGGGGCATAATTGTCAATTCAATAGAAAAGAAGAACTCATCTTCTTCCTCGTAATACACGTGAGAATCTGCCATTGTCGTTCGACCAAGCTTATACCAGACCACCATCACACCATGCCACCACGACTCTTCCCAGAAGAAACTATACGGCGCATTCCATGATTGACGGAGCTCCGACCAACGAACTGAACGCCGTAGAGGAGAGAAATGAGAAAGCTGACCGCGCCGGGCTGAGGAGAGCTGGCCGGAAAATGGCCGGACCTCGCTATGTCCGCTGACCTGACCGCCGTCGGACCTAAGTAAGATAGCTGAGATGACGTAGAGCACATCAGGAGCCATGAACTGCATTGAAAATCAGATTTGGAGTAGTTCGAGCCTCCCAGTCAACACGGGTCGTGTGACGTAAGACACGGCTCGTGTCGCTTCGATGGGTCGCTAATTGAGCTCTCGGCATTGTCACACGACTCGTGTGACCAATGACATGAGTCGTGTGACCCTGGACGCTAGTTTTACGGGTTTGACGCGTTTTTCCTATTTTTTCGGTTTTTTCAGCCTATTTCGACTAGGACTCGACCCCGACTATTTAAACAACACTTGGACACGTTTTTGAGGAGTCTTGGACTTATTTTCAGATCTTTGGAGACCTTTGGAGGCTAGAAACAAGACCAAGACAAGGAGAAAGCCGGGAAGAAAGGATCGACGGAGCCGAATAAGTTTTTTTTCTTTTTTTTTTTTCATTTTCCTCTTTCAAACTCAATGTTTTATATCTATTTTTTCTATTTTAAAAACACGTTTCTAGGCTAGATTTATTTTAGATTCTAGGATTTGTTAGTACTCGGATTTATTTATGATTTAGTTTTTATTTCTTTCATTCTGGTTTATCTTTCGTTTATAAGTTTCTTGTGCTTATTTTTATTGTGTGAGTAGATGACCATTATGAATGCATATTTGAGATCGATTTGAGATCGAGAGAAGATAATTGATTGCTAGAATTGGGAGATTTATAACGTAAGAGAATAAACAGACCGAGAGGTTGATAGGACCTTACGAGAGAACGAAAATTCTAGAAACTTATGGGAGTTAATTGTTCATCTTGAGACCCAAAGGAGATAACTAGATAACAATTAATATCTAAAGATTTAACTTGTTCGAAAGAAAGGTTTGAAATTAATTTAGCAATTATCTCTACGATTGGTAAAATTAAATAAGGTTTGTTTGAATATAAACGTTTCATGAATTAATTCCGAGGAACGTTTAGCCTAGAATCTATCGTTTGTAACTTGTTTTATTTTTATTTTATTAGGTAAATTAGGTTTTAGTTTAATTTATTAGTTAATACTCATCATTCAATTCATTAGTCTAGATAGTATTTAATCGTCATTATTTTAGTAATTAAACTACAATCTCTGTGGAATATGACCTTGCTCGCCACTACCTATAGCTACTCCATACACTTGCGGATAGCGAAAATAATTAGTGAACAGTGCATAGGGAGGCAAATTTTGCAGCAGATCGTATGGCGAGTCTGGCCTCATTTCTTCACCTCCCATCAAAAAGGGACCCTGGCTTGACCACGACGTTATGGGGGTGTCTTACCCCCGCCGAGTTCTAGCTTAGTAATTCTTAGGCCGTCGGCCTCCTTTATTGTAACGAA